ACACGTGACCAGTATACTGCTCTGCCATTGGTGATATTTCTGGTCACGTGATTTAAGTTTCAGATTTTCAAAATTTTACATATATGAATTTTCGTATAATTTTAACACAGTTTTATATCAGTTTCTCGAGACAGGAACATCAGATAAAACTTTCATGGGTCGAGATCAAGAGCTAAAGTGATTAGCTTTCAGCCCTTTCATTTTTCTTTTTCTGTCCCTTTAAGTAATAATCTCTATTTGTGTGCATGTCCGATCATAACTCATGAACCCTTTGACCTATTTGCCTCAAATTTTGAACGGGGAACTCGGGAGAACCACTGGAATGTTTTTGGCTTAGTTTTAAGATTGGGAAAAATAGTTAAAATTGTAATTAATGGGCTTGGTAAAATAAAATGGATTTCTAGGATTATTAAACAAACCTTTTTATAATGTTTGTGTAGGTCAGTTGTTGAACCTCTGATTGGACAGGTGATGCAGGGGTACAACTGTACAGTGTTCGCGTACGGACAAACCGGTATGTACACTGTACATTGTACATTTCTCATTAACAACCATTAATTTTACAACCAGAATTTCAGCTAGCTGAAAACTGGCAAGTAGAAACTTATGCATGCATTTTTTCAAACTTATTTTTTCTTAACGTCAGAGAACTTTTAATTATCTGTAATTGCTTTTTTAGGATTTATTTTAAGCTTAAATCTGAAATATCCGTAAAATTCCATATATGAAACAATAGNTTGCTTCTTGATCCTTATCCCCTGTCAACCATAGTATTGTGTCTAGGTACTGGAAAAACCTTCACTATGGAGGGAGGAGAGGGGAGAGACGAACCAGGAACAACCTGGGAGAATGATCCAACTGCTGGAATAGTACCAAGGTTCAATTTTTTTTATAAAAAATTCCGAATTTAAAGCAGAACTTTTAAAAGTTGACTGAAAGTATTGTGTTGGTTTGTTTACATTCATAAAAATAAGAAATATGCATGGTTTTTCATATCATGTTCGACTGCAGTGCAGAACGTCTTGGTTTAATAAAATGTTTTTAACGTTTAAAAATTATTTTCAGAGCTCTGGCACAGTTGTTTGACGAACTGCGACTCATACAGGTATTTTTTTTTATAAATCAATGCCATGCATAGCGCTGCAAAAGACCTTTATTGATTAATTAAATATAAAAATAAATCTCTGTTCTCCCCCCGGAAACAGAGATTTATATTTGATTAATCGATGAAGGTCTTCACACTTCACCCATATGCAGCATTATGGCGACGGTAAAAATTGTTAATTCCTCCTGATCGTTTTTTCCCTAGTTTTGTGTCTTTCAGCCCTACGATTCCTTAACTGTTTCCTCGAAATCATATATATAAAATTTAAGTGGGGGGGGGCAT